AATCCATGATCGAATTTTATGTAATCCATGATCGAATTTTATGTAATCCATGATCGAATTTTATGTAATCCATGATTGAATTTTTTGAAAATTTGTGATTTTTTTTTTTTAATCCATGATCGAATTTTTTTTTGTAATCCATGATAGAATTTTTTGAAAATTTGTGATTTTTTTTTAATCCATGATTGAATTTTTTTTTGTAATCCATGATAAAATTTTTTGAAAATTTGTGATTTTTTTTTTTTAATCCATATTATTCAAAGAGAAAATGAGAGAGATGATGATTCTGAGGCTACCCTATCCCAGCCATATTATTCACATATCGAGTCCCAACAGCAACAGTGTAGGGATGAGCACGACAGTGCAGGTGAGCATGAAGGATGGACAATCTTCGGGGATTTTAGATTGGGAACACAACAAAACACTAATACTCAGAGATTTAAGAATAGTCAGACGCCTGCTAATATCGATGATTCGTTTTTAGATCGAATCAATGAATTGTTAAACGAATTCAATCAATGACACCAGCGTGACCAAGAAGAGCAATAACGTCGTCTATCATTTTATTTTTAGATCATATGTTACCAATTTTATGCTTTATTGTAGTCCATGTATGTTGATATACTTATTCCATGATAATTCTATGTTTATCCTTTTGTGTGATGTAAATTAAATGCTGAATGGCGGTTCATGCAGGGAAAGAACATATCAATATTCGCATATTCATTCAAAAACATGAAAATTCTTAATGGAGTGCCCTCATTTCTTACTGAATTCCTAAAAAACAATATTTATAATGAATTTTAATATTTTTTTCGGATTTTTTTTAAGCTTTATTCTGACCGGTTCACCTGATTCCCGATCCGGATCGCCGATTTGCCGATCCGGATCGGTTTTTTGGGAGCCCAATCCGGGTCACCGATCCGTTTTTTAAACCATTGGTTTGACATAAGAGAGGTGCGGGGACCATGAGAACACACAATCAACTCACTCAAAAGTTTTGGAGTATCGATTTTCTCGATAAATTGTAGACAACTGGGGGCAAACTTGAGAAAAAAAAAGAAAAAAAATTTTAATACTTTTTTTATGTCTTTGTTTTTTGGGTAAGTCGGTGGACAGTGGGAGAGAAAGCCCCCTACCCGATTTTCATTGATACAAGATAAAAAAATTACAATATACTATTTTACAACTCTATACAGGCTGGTGGACCACATCATGAAGGAAGAGAGAGAAAGTCGGGAGGCCTAGTGCACAAAATTGTGGCATACAAAAAGATCGTAATTTTTTTTTCAAGTATATCAGCCACCATATTAGCCTTGTAGTAGATATGATAAATAGACTATGAATGTTTTACATGTCTAGATTTGCAATTAGCAGCTATGGTATGAAGCACACATGGGGATTTGCATGTGCCACGTATAACTTGCACTAGTAAGGAGGAATCACTTTCAATCTATAGTGGGAAACCATCTATCTTGATTGCTAGATCAACCCCGGCTTCCAAACCACGGAATTCTACATAATTATTAGATATAACACCAACGGTGATAGCAAATGCGGCTATGAAAGAACCATCATCCTTTCTAATGAACCGTCCACATCTAGCTCTGCCTAGGTTTTGAAAGGAAGACCCACTAACATTTAGCTTGATAGGGAATCAATTGGTACAAGTGTATCGATTCTGCTATCGCCATGTTATTTAGAGATTTTTTGTTATTGCCTTCTCTGAAATATGATACGACCAGGCCTTGGCAACTGCCAAATCACGAACGTGACTAGTGATTCTTCTAATCAAATGTTAATATATGGATACCTTTCCTTGAAGCATGCGACGATTCCGCTCCTCCGGAAGCATCCAAACTGTTGTGAAAAAAAAAAAAAAACCAGATATTAACAAAACCATCAGACTTGAATCTGAATGCTATCTATTTTCTCAATGTGACTACAATGGACGAGTCGAAGGTGAAACATTTCATACATCTTCGTGCTATTGATCCCCACATCACCTGGGAATAAACATAATAATGTACTAGATTACCTATGTTGTAATCATTAGTATGACAGAAGGGGCACACAGGAGCCTGAATGATTCCTCTCCACAGCAAGAGAGGGGAAGCAGGAAGACGATGGTGGACGCTCATCCGAGAAAACTATTTCGCTCTAAGATGGCACTTAGAAGCCTATAATGCTTTAAAAATTAGTTGAGAAGAACCCCTTCGACAAATAAAATTCCATGCCTCTTTACCTAAGAATACTCCATCAGAAGGAGTCCATGCCACAAAATCTTGTAGTTTAAGAGGAATTGTGAAAGCCTCCTCCTCCTTTCAGGCTCTCAATAAGCGGCCAGATGTAGGAGAAGGTTAATGCCAAGTCTGTAGGATCCATAAGATACCACGATGAATTTTTCTTATAACCATGGATCTGCCCAAAAGTCTACTGACCTGCCATCCCTTATAATCCATCTAACATTGTAGCGCAAGAAGGACCATTCCAAGTGTAGAAGCAATTCTTTCTATAGGTTTCCCAGATAGACGAATTCTTGAAGTGCCTATGCTTGAAGAAACACGCTATAAGAGTGGAGGATTTATAATAGGAAAAAGTCTATATAAGGTTGCAACCTTAAATATAGAAATAAGGTGAACACAAACTCCGTCATAAAAAGTTGCTTTGATGTAGGAAAACCCTCTAATTGATCATCTCAACATTGT